AGCTGGGTGTCATCTGCATAGCAGTGAAAATGTATGCTATGTCTTCTAATGATGCTGCCTAAGGGAAGCATGTATAATGTAAACAGAAGCAGTACCGTGGTCTATGAAGGGGACGAGGAGTGTAACGGTCCTAATGCTCCTGCGTTGGTCCCAACATAGCCTGTTAGTCTTTAATGCAACGAGCAGACGCACACACAGCGATTGTGTTAAAGCTGCAAACGACACAAATCTAAATAGCCAGTCCTCTTCACCAGCCTCAAATATCACTCAGCCAAGGGAAGCTGGTTATACTAGACACCTGCTCAGCTAGTTAAAGGCCCGTGATTGGCCCAAAACACAGATCCCAGAGAATCCCGGGCCCAGAGCGAGACCCGTGTAAAGTTAGCCAACAACAAAGTTAGCCGTGTTACCGACAAGTTCGGGGAACTTTTCCGTGTACTCATCAAGATCGTCCTGGCCGTGAATCCGGATACTTGCCCACTCACCTGGGAGTTCTCCAGATGTTAAGATTTCCTCATTTGAAAGTGGAGGCTAGCGTAACCCACGGCAACACTCAGTCACCTGTGTGTTATTGTGGAATCACACCATGTGTGACTTTGGGAGATAAGATTCACGCTTGGCTGTCTGCAGTTCTCACCTTGCGATGACCTCATTTATCACTGAAGCTCATTAAAAAAAGACCTGCTCTTACTTTTAAAGAACATCCCATTGTTCTGTGAGGTTTGTCCTTTCAGCTCTGTTCGTACATCATTTACTGAATTTCCCAGAGGAACCCACCCGAGGGATTAATAAAGTTTCATCTAATCTAATCTAATCTAAAATGTAAAATCATTATTTTTTCTCTTTACTGCACATTACTCTCCTTGCAGCTTCACAGAGACAGAATAAACCACAGTATTTAAGAGTTTCATGAAATATAGGAGGACAGACTTTCTCCATCCATGGTGGAGATATTTGGAGTTACTTTGTTACTTAGAAACACCGGGAGGAGACACAGGTCCCGTTTGGGGTCAGGAAGAGCAACCAGTGTAAAAATCCAACATGGAGCTCTGCACGGTGACTCGGGGAGCAGATTTTTCAATAAGAAAATTCACTTCCTGTATCATGTAGGTGGGAATGCACCCATAAGCATTTTGGTGCAGTCCATTGTTGTACTCGCGGCTGTCAGAAACGTGCGATTCTTTTAATTGAACAAATTGGTAAGCAGTTATGGGAGTTACAGTTCCCGTACCATAATTCCTTTATGTAGCACTTAGAACACATAGCTGGCCCAAGTGCTGTACAGCAGAAGTACAAAAAGTACAATAAATAACTAACAATAGAATAACAGTGTCAGTTACCCACTGAGTCAAAGGCCAGTGTATAAAAATGAGTTTTTAAAAACCACGTCTGAAGTCGACCGCCTACTAGAGGAAGAGCTTCAGGGTCTCCTCTAAGTTTCAGCTGCTCAGCTGACCGGAGTGAACCGTATAAGGCAAATATACAATTTAAGGTTTTAAAAACCAGTAAAAGGATTTAAAATAGATCCCAAATTCAAATGGAAGCCAGCGTAAGGAGGTCAGAACTGGAGTAATATATTTTTAAAACCATTTGAAAACACCTGTCTGGTGCCAGCGACAGGTCCTGGTTTACAGGGTTAAACTCGTCCACTTGGGCCAGTAACTGGTCTCTGTGGGCTCTCCACCATCATCCATAAAAATAATCAACAGAATTGTTGACAAAGGGAATAAACGAAGACAAAGAACCAGTCTGACTTTCTGCAGGCAAAGACGAGGCTCTGACTGTAGTTGTACACTCAGAGAACAGATAGCTCCATACAAAGGGACGATACTCGATACCTTTGAAGGGACAGAGGGGGCGACGTGTTTGTTTTTTTATTTCCGTGCACTCTTCTCGATCCTGACTGAGCGCCTCTGGGTGTAGATTATGTAAGTATCTGCATTGTTGATTGGTTGATAAGTGGGCTGGAATAGAGAAGGGAGCGATAGCAGAGTTCACCGGGAACAGGAGTCAATACTCAATTTCTACTTTTTGTATGTAAGATCAACAACAACATGAGCAAGAGTGGCCCTCAGATGGTTGAACCACAGACTCTGTACACTGCCTCCCTCTGGCAGCAGAGCTCTCTGCAGGCAGATGGGTAGTCTGCAGCCTATAGGCAGCAAACACTGCTCAACCATAAATCTGCTTCCCCCCAGAGTTGCCTGATCATTTGCCAGAATTTCTTTAAGACTGAACAAAAGTCTTGCTCAAGGCTTCCCCTAACTCTCACAGCAGAGGTTTGGTTCATTCAGCCATGACCAGAGATGCGTTCTGCCCATTGTTACCGCTCTGCAGCCTCCAGAGTCCACAAGTAAACCAAGCTCCATAGGCCTCTTCTTAGGCCTGTCTGCTTCAGGGATCACCACCACAACACCCACCGACAACTCTACAGGCACAACTCTGGATCGTGATCCATTCAGATCCTCGTCTGGAGTTCTGTAGAAAGTCTTCTGCCTGTGACAGACTCTCACAGGTCACTCTCACTATACTTTTGGGTACGCAGCTCCTGAAGACAACATCCAACATTTTTCCCAAAAGGCTGATTCTGTTCATCTGGACGTTTTCAGTGGGAGAAACGTTTCACGATCGTCTAAATCTCAGCTGACTGCAGGTTTCAACCTTATAAACAGCACATTTGCACAATGACTGAATCCAGCCCATTGAATGAACAATGGGCTGTGAGGTCGGTTCCTTGAGTGATGAAACGTTTCTCCCACCGAAAACGTCCAGATGAACAGAATCAGCCTTTTGGGATTTACTTACCTGGATGACTGAGCATCAAGACATCCAACATTTTTATTGGAGATTATGTATCGGGATTTCAGGAGCAGGACCACACCTCCAAACGCTCCTTCCGGCTGTCATCTACAGAGGTTCCCCCAGTTCTGCAAGCCGATCATTCTCGTTTACGTGCCTCACCCTCCCTCTCTCCTTCTTCTCCATTCTTCAACTTCTTCACTTCTATTTAGTGCATTGGGATCTGCCAGGCCCGGGAGCCATCGCCAGTCTCCTTCGAGGCCTTCCCCAAACCGCAGCTCAATTCATGCCAAAGCATCACTTTTACCTACTAAAACGCTGTCAAACCTAAAATGAGGACGTGGACTCAGCTAGTGAAATGTTATTTCCATGTTAAAGACATGTGGAGACGACACAGTAGCCTGAGTTGGGTTTAGCAGCAGCTGTTCAATGCAGTGTGCCTGGTTAAGAGTCTCTCGTGAGCTCCTATCAGTCACGTCTCCAGCTCCAGGTTGGCTGGCTCATCAGTCACACTGTTTCTTTATGTAGTGAAACCTGAACTGCTTTGTTGCATCGAAGTGTGTTTTTCCCTCCAGGTGAGTCTGGATGCTCGGGTTCGAGAGGTGATCAACAGGAAGATGCAGGATCCGACGCCACACACCTTTGAAGACGCCCAGCTGCAGATCTACACGCTGATGCACAGGGACTCCTACCCACGATTCCTTGCCTCCAACATTTACAAGGCGCTGGTTCATGGCGGCTCCAGTACGCCCTCCGAGTCCTACTCCTAAACATCTTCATCCAACCTGCGCCCTGCCTCCATCCAAATCTTTCAAGCAGTCATCACTCCATCCTCAGCTCTTCCCACGTACTCATCTTCATCGTCTCTCCACTTCATGTTTTCTTCCTTTTAGGGTAACTCCTGCTCACTTCTTTCTTCTTTTGTAGTCACCTTCTCTTAATATGGAGATAATCATTTTGAAAACAAGAAAAAAAAAAACCTGGAAACAGATTTACAATGTTTATAAAAATATTTATATTTTTCTCGAATTTGAAATCTTAATCAGGCCTTTGACGTCAGTTAGACCTTGTTATGTGCAGGGTTAGTGCAGTGATTAAAAACTAGCAGTTAAATATTAAGACAAACTCCTGGCCAACAGTTTCAGCTCAGCGAGGCTTTGAGCTCAAACAGATGAATTTTAATAGCAGTGAACTTATTGATTTTAGGTGATTTATGAGTTTTATGTCACTGAAATCAGACTAAGCTGATCCCTGATCCACCCCTGCCTTCCTCCTCCTCACGGTTCACCTCTGCTTTGGTTCATGTTTCCCACCTGCTCCTGAGGGCACCAGCGAGTGACACTGAAGTTTTACTGGGGTGATTGTTTTTTCAGTGGGAGAAATATTCACATGTGCCATCAGCTCTTTGTGGATTTTTACCAGCCTTGCTACTTAGCATCTCCTTTCACAGAGCCAGCTGACTCCACCTCGCACTTCAGGAATGATGCGGTTCAAAGAAAAAGATGAATGCTGCGTCGTTCCCTTTCTCTGTTTTTGAACTGGAAACTTGACGCTTCCTGAGACTCTTCATCTTTGGTAGTTCGCTGGATCGATGACTTTACTCCTGACCACAGGGGGGCGCTGCTTCCTCCAACTACTGATTAACAAATGACTACGTGAATATTTTATATCACAGAACTGAACGTGGAACATTTCACCTACTTTTGTTTGCCGTGGTCTCTCCTCGTCCTGTTTTTTCCAGAAGAGGATGACCCAATGAGACTGATTACACCCGACACACACACACAGAGCAATAAAAACACTGGAGTTTAGAAAACACACACAGGATCAGTGCTACTTTACTTACACGTTCAATAATCAATACTTTCCTTCCATTAATGGTCAGAAAGACACAGATTTGAGTTTCGGAGTAAACAAAGCTGCTGTGACCGCTGTGTCTTTAAAATGAATGGATAATCAGTAATAATGATTATTGTTCATAATTAGTCTGCAACCAAAAACTACTATCACTGAGAGATGAAATGTAAAGAGTGCAAAGCTGCAGGCGGACGTTTGTGTTGTAATAAATGAACATTGTGTCTGCCTCGTGTCGCAGAGACCATAAGAAGAAGGACCTGTTAAAAATGACACAGAGGAGGTTTTGTTTGTGTGGGTGGAAAACGCTTCACTGTTTATGACCAAGAATAACGCGCAGGTGAAGTTGGAATTTTATCTTCTTTAAGTCAGACGTACGCTGCCATTACGTGAATGTTTATGGTCGCCACATCTGTTTTCTTACAAATTTATAACAGGCCCTGTAAGTATAGTATCACACACACAGACACACACCGGGGCTGCCTACCTGGGCGTTGCTGCTGCTGACCTCTGCGACCTCTCACTTTTGACCTCATCACTGTCTGTGGCTCCTGATTAGCTGCAGGAGGCCACCGGGCTCATCTGTGGTTGGTCCATTCAGGAAGGGGGGCGGGAGGAAATCCCAGGTGCAAAAAAGCAGCCCATGTTGTGAGTCGGACGCTTCCTGCACTGCTTCATGGGAACGCTGGTAGATGGAGGCGGAGGCCACAGGTTCCAAACAGGAGATGCCTCCCTCTTCAGCAGACCAGTCACACGATGCATTTCTCTTCGTATTGTTGATGTTATTTATTTTGTATTTTGTTAAAACTGTGATTTTAATTGTACAAATATAAAGAGAAAACTGAAGATCCAACGAGAGGCTGCTTGTTTTGTGACAGAAATGACCTGAGAGGTCAGACAGTGTTCACACCTGTGTTAACACCAAGGACTGAATCAATAAAATCTCCCAGGCTAAAACACTGTTATTATGATAACTGACCAGCACCGACACACTCTTTTTTTTGTGTGTCCCGTTTGGATCTTTAGACATCAGAATTGTTGTCTTAAGGCCAAGAAAGATGCCAAGCGGATTTATTTTACCAAGTGGATCATCATGGCCTTGCCATATTGGTCGATTTGATTGACCTTTATAATTATGAATTTATTTTATTTTCATTTTTTAAAGTCGGGACAGACATGACTGCGGGATAGGACAGGGAGAAAGAATGAAAGAAAGAGAGGGAGAGAAAGAAAAATGGAGAGAAGAGACTGTGAGAAAGGGGGAAGAAAGAAAGAAAAACAAACAAAACACCTGGATCACCTGTATGGAGAAAAAAAACAAGAGAAAGCAAACAAAAAAAGAGCAACATAATAAAAACAGCACCATCACAATAAACTAGCTAACAATTAGGGCTGCCACAAACGATTATTTTGATAGTCGACTAGTCACCGATTATTTATGCGATTAGTCGACTAATCAGATCATCATCCACTGGACGTAAAACTACAGCTTATTGCACCAGCAGCATCTGCTCTTATATAACTATCATTAGCTTACAGCTTTAAGCTTTTAAGGTGCTAACTAAAAATAAAGACAAGATGATAGTTTATTCAATTTTAATGAAATTTGCAGATTGTTTCGGTAAAGTTTAATAAACTCCTTGCTATCTAAAATATAACAGGACACCGGAGTATATTCTCCAGCATCTCACACTTCTGATAATCAGCTGTCTGCTTGACGTTTATTCAGCTGTGTAAAAACTATAACTTTAATCTCAGCCAAACCGATTTACTCAGGAACAAATAAAATACTAAAAAAAAAAAAAGCCAAACAACAACATTTTTAATTTATCTAAGTGACTCATATATATTTAACCTGAGTCGCGAAAGACGGCGGTGGGTTTGAAAACAATTTGCCGGGAGTCCGGTGTTCTCACGGCGCTAGTGACCTAGCCCCCGGCTAGCTATCGAGCTAGTGGGTAACAGACGTCTCCGAAAACGTCGGAGCGCTTTTGAAAATATGTGGTGTCCTGATAAACTGAGCCGATATTTGAGGTTTACACAGCTACATTCTCGCCTGAAAATATGTTAAACGTTTATTTTGTGACCCAGAAAGAATAATAAGAGTAATATTAAAACTAACTAGCTACCGCCATTGTTGGAAACTAAGCTGGGCCGCGCTATGAATTCTGGGACACAGCTGCTTCTTCTTCTTCGGGGTTTAACGGCAGCTGGCATCCTTGTACATGCAGTGCTGCCATCTTCTGTTTCAGTCCGTTATTACACTCTTAAATCCTGCTATTATTCCTGCGTCTTTTGCGATCTTACAAAGCTTCAAACGACACGTCGACTATTAAATCAGTCGTCGACGATTTTGATAGTCGACGTAATCGTGACTAGTCGACAAATCGTGGCAGCCCTACTAACAATAGATAACAGTAGATACTAAATATTAAACGATATTGTGCAGCACGCAAGATAGACAGCACACAATGTGCTTTGAGGCAGCAGCCAAGAAAGGTGTAGTCCGCGTCTGTGAACACCTGTGTGCACACCTGTGTGGATCAGCATGCTTGTATTCCGAAGGTTTCTCCATGTAACGATCTGCTAGGGAGTGTGGGGAGCCATAGCCCCGTCCACCAGGGTATGAAGCAGGTATGGAGGAGATCCAGGCCCCAGACATCCAGAGGCCCCAGAGTACGAGGACCCGAGGAGGACCACTAAAGGGGGGGGAACCGTGCCACCCTCCTGGGAAGAGCTGAGTAGAGCCCCAAACGAGAGGTCACCCAGCAGCTACGGAGCAGAGGCCAGAGGGGGTTGCAGTGGCGTGCACACACAGATTTCATTAACCATGTCAGGGTGCTAGCTCGCTGGTTTCCTGTGTTCTGATGGTAGGATTTCTTTCTAACCTTCGGCCTCGATGAAGAGGAAAACCTAACTGTGTTTGCAGGGTTGGTGAAGTCGGTCCAGCTGATGTGATGATGAACCTGAGGGTCTACGCTCGCCACAGATCACCAACACGTTTATCTGACTTTGTGGTAAAGTCACAGACTTCGCTTTGATCTGTGACAAATCAGGCTGTGTGACAGGAAGCTTTGATGTTTCCATGGATACAGTCTAAAGTTTAAAAACAAACAGCACTGAGTTCAGACACAAAATAATTCAAATCTTTAGATGAACCAGTTTCTGCTGCTGTCAGATTATTTTAATTTATTTATCTAAAAAGGGACAGTGCAGTTTAACATAGTCCAAGTACAAAACATGAAACTGATGTAACGCACATAAGTTTATAGCTATTGCTAATTTTCAACAATTGTCCCTTGTTGGGCTTACAATCAAAATAGATACATTTTACAACAAAACATACAACTACAATTAATAGACAATAAATTAAAATAAATATTTTACTGTTAGATTTTGTCTTTTCCAGAAGTGTTGTATTTAGGGCCCGAGCACCGAGAGTGCGAAGGCCCTATTGTATCTGCTCCGTTTCTTATTATTATTATTCAGGCAAAACAA